TAGGAAAAAAGTATGAAATGGCTTTGGTTACTAATTAATTTTCTAAAGGTTGTTGGAGTTGGTGCAATAGTGTTATTTTATTTTATTTTTCTTGGCTTGCACATTGCATTAGGTTTTCTGGTCAAGGAAAATTTGGGAGTTTGAAATTGTCTTTCTGATTTAGGAATGTTTGGTAAGTGTCAACAACATGGTTATATATCCATGGTTATTGGGCTGATGATATTTGAGACTATGATGAATTACTATTTTTGTTATATTTTGCTAATTATTTTAGGACATTTATGGTATCAATTGTGACAATTTGAAATGTTCCGACAAGCACAAGAGCTAGTTACAAGATTGTTGCCATTATTTGTTTGTCCCTATTGTTGTTAAATGTATAGTGTCATGTTTTAAAGCAGCACAAATTAGGATAATATTTAGTTGAATGTATAGTGAACATCGGCTTCGAGTCCGGCAGCAGTCCCTTCGCCTTGATCTCTTCATAAACTGCAGCGGCACCTACAGAGAAGACGCTTTGGTAGCTTTCTTTCAGTTCTTCAGCTTTTTGCCTCCGCTGAGCTCGGATTTCAGCGAACGATTTGCTTGGCTTTCCTGACTTTTCCTCCTTGGCCTTGCCCATGGCCGGCGCGGCGTCGAAGGTTGGGATCGACGAGGACTCCTCCGTCGTGATGTAGTCCTGGGCTCGGGTGAGGAACTCCTGGTAAGTGGTCGGCTTATTTTGGCATATGGACTATCTAAACAGCGTTTTCGGTCTCAGATCGCCCTGAGCGGTGATCAGCACGGCGTCAGGGTGGCACCACTCCATGTTTTGGACTCGATAGTTGAACCGAGCGATGTAGTCTTTCAGGCTCTCGTTCTCGCCCTGAACAATATTGGGGATGAATTCTTTGGGGGCGAGATTGACCTGCGATCCGATAAAGTGTGACTAGAACGCCGACCTGAGCTGAGCTCAGGTGGAGATGGAATGGGTGTAAAGAGAGTGATACCACCTCTGCGCCTTCGGCCCCAGCGTCAAAGAGAACATGCGACAGCGCAGGGCGTCAGAGGCGCCGTGCAGGTCCATCCAAGAGGTGTAGAGGCCAATGTGGGAATCAGGGTCCGAACTCCCATCATAGAGGCCGAGCTGGGGTACTTGTATTTTCTTCGGGACAACTTCTTGCAAGATATCGGGAGAAAGAGGTGATGCGTTGTCTACGACTCGGGGAGTGGGTCGTGTGCAAGACCATGGATAGGCAGGGAGCGACAGCTCACTCCCGGAGGGGTGCCGGCCTTTCAGTTTGGCGATTCTGCGTTTGAGGGCCGCGACTTCATCAGTGTCTTGCCCTATAGCTTTGCCTCGCCTGATCACCTCCCGGAGATCACGGTTGGCTTGGATCTTGTCACCTAGGCGGCTCTTGTCACCTAGGCGTTGGTAAACAGAGCGGCGGACGACCTGGAGGCTTTGCTCCGGGCGGCTCTCTCCCGTCTGTTCGGTAGGTGCCGGTCTGGTGCTTTTGTCGCGGTGGTTCCGGGCCTCAAGGTTTGGTGATTGAGCCGTGGTCTTGGACTTCGTTGGGTTCTTCTGCCCCCCGGCCTCCTTTTCAGGAGTATGGAGCAAGGTATTGTCGGGGTTTTCCGTGGGCGCCACGGTGTTTGCCCCGGCCGCCTGGCTAGCGAGAGCCTTTGCGAAGACTCCCTCGAGGGCTTTGAGGACGTCGGGGTGCTGCATGGCCACAACAAAGGTAGGAACCGGCAGGACAGGGACTATGGGTCTCTGCTGAGCACGGCGAGAGGTCTCCCCGCCGTTGTGTCGGCGAGACTGGGCGCAGACTGTTGGGTGGACTCGTTGCGATCCGATGAAACCATTTCGAGTGTTTTGGAGATGATTTGGAAAGAAAAGTCGTTCAAAGTGGAGTCCCACAAGATCGAAAAATTGACACCAAGTAACTTATGGGCCCTTCCTCTAGCGCCAAACTGTTGACGGGCGTTTTCGGTCAACGGTTAAAAAAGATTAATAGTGAAAAAGTAATGAGAAAAGACGAAAGAATATGGTTTAATTACGATTTTATTAACGGATCACGAGGTCGGCCTCTCGTACGAGGGCGGCACTTGCGATATACTTACAAATTCTTACACGAGTTTCTTACAAGTCTAGAGAGAGAAAATATAGAGAGGGTTCAGACAATTGAGATTCAACCACCCAGAAATAAATGAGGGGGTTGTTATTTATAGTGCTCTTTAATGTGGTACTGTTCACCGGTCTTGTCGTACAGTAGTTCGGCAAGACGGGCCGGCGTTTCTCTGACTGATTGGGAGTGATTTCTGGGTCTTCGAATCATTACCTGCAACGCATTTAATGCTGGTGTGGGTTGCATTTAATGCGGACATGCTCCTGGGCCGGGCTAGACGTCCTAGACCTGCAGACTAGTCTAGGGTGTCCTATCGACAATCATTGGTTGGCAAGTGGCCTTATTTTACTGCCTTCAAGACTGTTGGCTCTCATAAAGAGCCGACCTGATAAGATCCCGAATCAGACTGCACACCAGCTCATACTCCGGCCTCCGCGGTCCCTTCTCCACTTCGGCACTGACCCAGACCGCCCTCGCAACAGTGGGGGTCGAGGTGCCGACCTCGTAATTGGGGAAGCGAGGTGCCGACCTCGGGGCCGACTCTGACCGCCATTCCCGTTGACTTTGACTTTTACTCAGCTCGGCTCCAACAAATAAATTCGGTGACCGGCTTCATCAGTCCGGTCGGTCACCGCCCGACTCCCGGTCTCTCAGACCGTTATTTTCATAGGAGCCGGACTCGGATATCAACAGACAGTTTAAGTGCAGCAAATGTGCTCATAAATTTGGAATTTTTCGGTAACAACAATTACTAATCTATCTATATATAAAAAGGTTGTTGGTTAAATCCTTTTTGGAAACTTTTGACCAAATAAATAATACCTTTGACATTCTATTTATAGAAAGCTTGAAAACAATAATGGTGTAATTTTTTTTTTTTTTTTGACGTAAAATCACAATTTGAATTCAAAATTAATGGTGTAGAGATAATATTGGAACAATAATCTGTGGATAACTCATGATGGAATCTATGGATAACTAACTACTAATCTAAAAAGATTTTGATAAATCTTCACCAGATACTTATTTGATAAATCTGTGGATAACTAAACTATTAATCTAAAAAGATTTTGAAATGACTAATTTTATGTATTAATATCGCAACACAAGGAAAAACAAAAGCATAAGTGACCCCATTTATTTTTATACTAAAATAAAGAGATATTACCAAATATAATTTTTGTTTAATTTGATGGATAATATCAAATCATTCCAAATTTTAATAATGTATGCGAATATCATCTCAAATATTTAGAGAATATCATTCTAACGCTTCAATCATCTAATATCGAGATATTTTTTTTCACCTATTTAATTAACACTTACTTTGCCTATAAAAATAACATACACACTCTGAGTTGTTATTATATCCCCACTCATCAAAAAATCAAGCAAAACATAAAGAACAAATAGATATTCTGTATTGATAAGAAATCATGAGGACTCATCAAGCAAAACACCATGAAAACTTTACGCAATCCAACTCTTTTAAAGGATAAATGTATCTTTTTCGAACAAAAAGATATTGAAAAATGATATTTTTGTTATTATGAGGTATTAAATTTTATGGGTATGAAAGTCGAATTTTAAGTTGATTTGTTATAAAACCAAGGTAATATGTTTCTCAAATTTTAGCATATTTCTATAATAACTTGCCAAAAAATATTAATGATAATTTGACAAAATGGTATGTATTCCTCTTGAAAATCATAAACATTTTTGAACAAATGTTGGTTAATAAATTTAAAAATTAACCGACAACAACTCTAGAAAATTGTGAGATAATATATATATATATATATATATATGTATATATATATATATATAAGGAAATTTATCGTATAGTTCAAATTTAGGTTTCAAATTTAAAAGTCAAATAAATAATTATTCATAACTTACGTGTCAATATTAACTTAGGAATAAATGAAATAGTCAATTCATTATAGTTCAACAAATTACTCAACAATTTAATTTTTTTTTTTATTTTGATAGTTTATACAAAATTAAATTTATTTTAATTAATGAACACTATAAGTTTTATAATTGTACTTATTATTCAATAGATTTTTAAATATATGATAAAATTTACCAAAAGAATTATTTTATGGAATCACATTGTAGTCCAATCGAATTTCTGAATAAATATTTTAAAATGACACTTATTTTTAAATAAATATAATGTAATTTATTATCAGTTACGTGCACCATACGGGTTGTATACTAATTAAATTGACATGTTTTATGTAATTTTGCAGGATATAAAATTTATATAACATTTTCAATAAATTAATATAGGTAAATGTATTATATATTGATTCAATATTTTTAATTTATAAATATTATCTAATAATTATTTTTAATTTATAAATACTAATGAATATCTCTTACCCGTGCATCGCACGAAATTCGTACTAGTAGTAATAGTTTGGCTCCATTAACTATTGATAGTACCAACAATTATCAATCAACCTTTTTTAAGCCTAATTATTAGATAATAAGATTTTCTTTAGGTGTGGAGTAACGGAGTTGTTTGGCAGATGAGAAATACCGTTGCAATTATGAAAATTTTACTTAAAATACACTTGAAACTTGAAAGTTGAAAATAGCGGTGCAGATTTTCGTTAGGTGTGTAAAGCATCTTTTTGAATTCAACATTTCAACTAGTTTGCAAGTATGGGTAGCAATTCAATTGGAAAAACTAACTGATAGATTAATGTATTCATAAAAACTTATTTGATAAACGAAACTAAATGATGTCTTACTCAGTAATTTTACTTTTTCCTTTGAAAAAAAAAAAAAATGATTTTCTTTTCTTTTATTCTTACAATTTTAATACTACCTTTCATATGACATTCAACAAAGAGATCTAGTGGGTGTTGGTACTGATACAAATTTCCTAAAAGAACTGAAATCTGTCCCATTTTCCTTCACAAACAAACACAGCATTGATGAATCTAACATCTTAAGAACATGAAAAAATAAGGAAGCTTTCAATAACATCTCTGTACCAACATATTCCATAGATCTGATTCTGATCAGTTACATGGAGAATGTCCAAATGATGTTCCAATCACAAGAAAATAATCCCACAAATTTCCACAATTCTTTTTCCCCAAATTATATTAATAAAACAATATACATTTGCATCAGGGCTTCATTAAAATCTCACACACATACTTAAGCACCTCTTCAGAGTCGACTGTCCACGCTACTGAAACTGGAGAAAAGCCTGACCATGGGTTGTTTGAGTTCCATCTGAATGCATCATATTAAATATCAATGCAATTAAGATCAAATTAGCTAAGCAATTTGCCCCCCCCCAAAAAAAAAGATTGTAATTATTTAAATAAAATAAAATCATACTTCTTTAATCCCTGGTCCATAAGCGTATGCCCTACACAAATACCCTGTGTCTCAACCCTAACAACTCCTTTCTTGAAGGTGAAGAGATCGGGTCTCACTAGCGCCACAAAACTCACAGGATCGTGAAGGAAAATTCCTGAGACGTGTCCAACTTAAGAGTAAGTCGTAAATATTTGAGGCAAAATTGCATTTTTAGTCTTGCTGGTTTAACGTAATAGTACTTTTAGTCCCAATGTTCCAACATTTTGCCTTTTTTGGCCCTGTGATTTAATATTTTGCTGCAATTTCAGTCATTTGAGCACTACATTTGCAATAACATTTTAAATTATAGGACTGATATTGCAACGAAATTTTAAATTACAAGACTAAAGTTGCTAATCGAAAATCTGTGAATTTTGGGAATTTGTTGCAATTTCAGTCTCAAATGAGCAGCAAAACATTAAATCACATGACCAAAAGCGAAAAGTTGGAAATTTTGGACTAAAATTGTTATGGCATTAAACCAACTAGACAAAAAATGCATTTTTGCCAATATTTGTAAAAATAAGTCTACTCACAAAAGTACTCAACTATCTTCCAAATGTTCTAATATTCCAGTTAGATGGCTTCAGAAACATTCTTCACGTTTTATTGTTTAAGGGGTATATAGCGATTTTGAGGAATTTTGGTTATTTTTCTAATTGTTGTAGACTTGTAGTTAAGCAAAAACCTTAAGGGCATTGCTTATAATTATTCATAACAAATTACAAAGAAAATTACCATGAACACCGTCTGATTTCACATGCCAGTCGCGATAAAACTTGCACATATCACATATGAATTTGGCATGCTTTCCTTTTGATTTCCTCAGCTCATCTAAGTGTACATCTGAAAAAAAAAAGATGTTCAATTAAAAAACCATTTCCTTTCTGTTGAAGGAAAAAAAAAAAAAATTGTGTGAAACAGAAAATCGGATATATTGACCTGTCATTTTGACTTGGGTCGTGATATTAATGCCAACAACATCGATATTTGCCCCCGAGGTGAATACAATATCTGCAGCTTCTGGGTCCCCATATATCTGCTGGTAAAAAACTTATAAATTATGATTAGCTCTGTTTTATCAGAAATTTTGCACCAAACTTCTGCATTCTAGTACTTTTGAACAAATTTTAATCACTACAGCCAAAAAATAATTACATTATGAATTGTGATCTGCAATAATGTAGTTCCTTCTTAATTTTTTCGGCCCTTTTTCCATATTTTTCGGTTTCATAAGGTACAACAGTTGTAAGAGTGCATAGATTACATACATTTGCTTCAGCAGCTGGATTAACATTTCCTAAGGCAAAGAAAGCCCCGCCAAGTATCACAATTCTCTTCACCTTGCTTGGAAAGGAAGAGTCCCTCTTTACAGCCTAAAATTGAGGGGAAAAAAAAAGAAAAGAAGAGATAAATTTGGAGATCCCAAGAGCAAAAATTGAAAATTCAAGAAACTAAACAAACTTACTAGCGCGAGATTTGTAAGAGGCCCTAATGCAAGTATAGAAACTTCACCAGGATATTCAGAGACTTTATCGACTAAAAATTCGGATGCCGATTTTTTGGATTTTTTCGATTTAGGAAGAGAAATGGAGATATCCCCTAATCCATTCGAACCGTGAACAAAGTCTGCAATACGTGGTGGCCCTCTCTGTGTATAATTTAAATATAGTTAGGATAGAGAAAGGTGATTGTATACAGTATACATAGGCATATTAGTCGTGAGATACCTACACATTAAGAAAAAGAATTCATGCGCATACATTGTCATTTCACAATAAAGAACGAATAGTATGATGAAAGAGACAAAAAGAGTCATAGTGCAGGTATTTCTACTCTATTTATATCGGGAGCGCCAAATTTTGAGTTTACTTCTTCTTTCAAATTAAAATGCAAATGCAGAAGATCCGGTGAAGTGAGTAATTGTTTTAGTAAGCAAAAAATTATGTTGAAATTGTAATTTTCGACTTGTATTTTTAGGACAGACTATTTATTTTACAATGAGCAATTCTTGTCCTATTAGAAAGCAGCTGACTTTGAAAGTAATGGAGGAACAAAAGTTGAACTTTATTCTTAAATATTACTATCTTCAAATTCGAATAACTCCTAATTTCAAACCATTACTATGCTAGAAATATACTACAAACATAATCTACTAAGAACATATTCCATTTTACCTTCAATGGTTCAGGATTTCCCTCTGCCACGGGCACATCTACACGTCCAGCAAGTTCGCACTATCCTTTTTTGCATTAAAATACAGTATTGATCATGAACATGTCCTTAAAGAAAGAAACTCAAAAACATATATTCACTAGAAAGGCACCCTGAAATTAACTAAATATAATGAACACGTACCAGAACTAATGCATTACGCGTGGCATTTTCTGTAGTTACATTACCGAATATCGTTGTTAATCCTAATATCTCTAAATCCGGTGACTGAAATGCCATTAGTATTGCCATGCTATCATCTGCATATCAACAGATTTCAAAGCAGCTGATTCAGAAAAAGGAAGCAAAATTATCCTTAAAATCTCATATGTAAAAGTTTACACTAATCTAATCAGTCTCAATTATACCTAAATAAATCTGCAAGTTCACCTTTGATCCTTTTCATTAAAACATCTATTTCATAAATCAAAAGCCATCAAATCTAGAGGCAACTAAATTATACCTTATCTTTGTCGTAAAAGCCCTGATAATTTATAATTCACTTTTCGCCAAAAGGAAAAGGATAAACTGAAAAGCCACTCCCAAGATGCCACATTATTCCATCAGCATAAAGAACAAATAAACTAGTCCAGCACAAAATCAAAATTACCCAGAACCAAAAGATATAAGATAAATTTATAATAAGCTGAACAAGTCCAATCTTTATTACATGAATTGAAGAAAAGGGTTCATATCTCACCAATACCAGGATCTGTATCAATGATAATTTTCTCAAATTTCTGGTTGACACCATTGTCTGAACCTGAAACCACAAACCCATCAACCCCATCGCGCCTAAGAATCGACATCACCACTTTTTCTATTCGGAAAAGGGACCCCAAAGAAAAATATAAAGGTGAAAAAGAATTTCAAAAAGGTCCCAAGAAATTGAAATAAAAATTTTTGAGGATGAAAGTATAGAGCTTTATGCATACAAATTTTTTATACTACAAGAAGGATAATAAAGGGATGTATCGTCAGCTCCGACTCTAGCTTGGCGATAATGAGCTGCCAAATTTATTTATTTTTCTAATCAGTGTTTAAAATTTTAAAACAACACGAGAGCAAGTGAACCATATATCCTTACTTTTCAATGGCCCAACTCTGTTTTTGTCATTTTCTCATGTTTTTTTTAGGCAGATGAGAATGTGGCATAAATAAAAGTGACCATTATCAACTACTAGTATTTGATCGTGTGGATTTGCACATATATAAAATACATTTTTTTATCTGTATTTATTAATTAGACATGTATTTCTATCATATAAAAATTATTACTTTTTCTTAAGTTATTTTTATTATTCAAAATTAATTGAGATTTAAATTTTATTTTAACCATACAATATTTACATCAGTAACATAAATAAAATAATTTATATATTTTTGGCATACATTAAGAAAATTAACATAAAAAAAAAAAAAATTATTGGTGTTTCTGATTTTTAGAAAAAAAAATATATGTCAATTATATTTTTCTTCCAACAATGCAACCAAATATAACGGTTACAACTCTAAATGTGTCAATCAACTTTAAGTTCCAACATTAGCTGTTACACATTTGAATATTTTGCTACCAAATTTAGAATTAAGTTAGTAATTGATCCAGAAAATAAACAATAAAAATCTATATATTAAGGTGTAATGATTTTAGTAGATTAGTGAATAATTAATAAAAAAAAAACAATCATTCCGCGAATAACTCCAACTATCTCTTGATCATATACAAATTTTTAATATTGGATAACTATTATAGGAGAAATATTATGCACATGATTAGCAACAATTAAGTGCACATCCTCATTAGATTAACTTGATTAAGGGAAGTCCATCTTATCGTTCATTTTTTTGTTTTTGTTTTCAAGCAATATATAAACTAGTGAAATACCCGTGTATTGTACGAGTGTATGTAAAGAAATTTATATTTAAATTTAAAATTAAAAATAATAAAAAAAAATATTTAAAATTTTAAGTATTTTTTTGAATAACTAGATTATTATTTATATTTAAAATAACTAAAATCATTTATATGGTTTACCATCTTATATTATAATTTTTTTTAATTATATCATTTACTGCCTCATATTTTTAATAAATGTCGTTTTGAGAAGTAGCACAATAATTAAGAATATTTTTTTTGCCAATAATAACCCTTATTAATGAGGATAGAGATTGATGTTTTGAGAAAAGATGGAGAGTGAATATGAAAAGACGTAGTGTATTTATTAGTTAGATGAAGGTAATAATAGAAAAATATGTACAAAATAGCCAAAACGACATTTATTTAACAAATGATCAATTAAGCTAGGATGACAAATAATAAAAATAGGAGAGAGTAATAGATTTGTTAATCCTTGTGCACCTAAATTAATTTTGCTTTCCTTAGTTGCTGCGCTAGATTCGTTGTGAATATTGATTTGATTATAGTTTCCTTGTAATCTTGATTTGTAGGTCTCATTTAGTTCCTTGTAATCCTCTATTTAAGCAATAGAATAGCATAAGAAAAATTGTAAATTCAACACCACCAAAATAAAATAATGTTCTCTTGTATTCGCGCTGGTAAGCTATTGAGAATTTTTCCAACGGATTGTATTTTCCGTTGGTAATAATTCGCAACAAGTCGTATAGCAACAAAAAAATTCGTTGATAATCTGTCGGCATTCTGTTGCGAAACTTAATTACCAACGGATTATTCCATTGGTAAAACTCATATTTTTATACTGCGTGAGTTTCTTTTGTGTCTTGTATATTGGTCGTGATCCCGTTGGCAATTGAGTGTTGTCTCTCCGTCGAGATTGTTATATTGAAAAAGTAATATATGCTTGTGTTTTTGCTCAGGTAATAGAGCTTTGTATCTTCCGTCCAGATCGGTCACCCAAACCATATGATTAGTACCCTGTTAATTAATTATGCTATTACTGTTGAAATGCTCTATCATATTTCATAAGATTGTTGTTGAGAGGCTATTATATCTGCAGAAATTCTGTGGCGCCCATATGGGCACCATATGGTACCACAATCTTCATGATCTAACGCCTAATATTCATTGTGAAATTGATAGAATGGATATTAGGCGTTGGATCGTGAGATTATGGCACCATATGGTGCCCATATGGGCGTCATAGAATTTCTGATTATATCTGAAGTTGTCCCGAAATTCTTCTTTTCCCCACAAACAACAAAAGTTGGTAAAGCCCACAATTTAAAGTGTTAGTTTGATATCATTTTCCATTAACTTTTTATCCATAATTAATGTATTTAAATTACAAATCAGACGACAATGAAATTATCTAATTGGGAGTGTAAAGTACGTTGTCTTGTTACGTGCTGGATTGTGCATGAATGTGACTATTGATGAAAAAATTTTACCTTTATTAATTTGGATTTTAACCGAGTCTTAAACAAGGATCAGCAAAATACAAGATAAAACTAAACGTCGAAATTTGGAAAGGTTACTATGAAAGTGCCCTTCTCAATTCCCATGCCCTGCTCAACAGCCGATTCATCGTACACTCATATGTGATGACTGTAGAGAATTTTATGTCATTTTTTGAAATAATTTTGCGTTTTCAAAAACAAATCAAGTAACTTTAATTTGTTTTTCTACCAAAACATGCTAGGTAAAGATTTTTATGTGTACTCAATACTCTAAATTAGCATCAAAATCGCTAACAAACAAATGATTACTAACACCACTTTCTGTAAAATAAATTGCAAGACTTTGAACTTGGTCGTGTATACTTTTCTAACTTTTTCCACATTAATAAAATCTCATACGTACATTATAATTCATCATTTGGAATTTTCGCTGGCTTACTAGCATCCTTGCAAACAGATGACGAGGCCAATCTCTCTAACCAAATCTCATCGGCTACGATCGAGTTCATGTCGTCTTCGTTCCTATGCCACGTCCAATGAGCATGTGTGCTATTGAATACTCTCAGTCGCCCGTGCCCGAAGCTCGCTTCTTTGTAAACCGATATTGAAGGACTAGGGCTCTCAAACCTTATTTGTAGCAACAAGAACAAAAGACAAAAACATCAAGAGAAAATGATATCCTAGTCGAATTCTTTTGAATCCTTTTTTTTTTTTTTGTATGTATGTGGCGTGCTCGTTTTTTGTCTACGAGCACAACTAATCGATAGTGGAGTGAGAAATTGAGGGGACGATTGGATGTGAATTCAACCGCTTATGATGCATCTTGGTTGGTTAAAGTGATTTATTTTGAATAAAGTAGATTGAGTGGATAATTTGGAATTTGAAATTAAATAATATTCAAAATGTAATGAATAAAGTTGATGTGATGCAAAAGTAGGAAAGAGAATATATGGAGTGATATTTAGTTAAAGTTATAGTGAACTAAAATTGATTTGATGTATGAGAATAATTAATTGATGATATTATTCAATTACAGTTATAAAAAAATAGGAGTGTTGAGTTGAGCTGGATTTTGAGTTGTTAATTGAATGTGAAATCACTCAATCAATTATAGCCGATTAAGTTAGATCATAACTCATATCCAATTGTCCCTTGAGTGCTCTAAATAAAAAGGACAAGTTAGAAGTGCTTACGACATAGCTAGACCTTCTCGGTTTCCTCCATCCCCAATGGTAACATGCATCGGACCACATTCGTTCGCCTTGTTGTCGTACACCCTGGTCTAACGTCGAAACAAATTCAATAACCGACATTCTCAGACAAACTTTACGTACGCGAATCATATTACCGAATCCCTAAATAATCAATCTCCAAAATCGAAATTGTGATCACTTACAAATCTTTCGTACGCATGAACATGCCCTGCAAACACCACGTCCACACGCGCATCGTACAACATTCGCTCCATGGCTTTCCTCATATCTTCACCCTCTCCCTTATGCGCGGAATTCGAATTGTACCACGGCACGTGGACTAGCACCAAAACCCAAGGCGTGATGGCCCTATCGATGCTCGCCAGATCTGACTGCAACCACTTGTACTGATCTGAATCTGAATCGAAGTCCGCGTAAGAACCGAGCATGATGACATGGGCCCGTGCTACGTCGAACGAGTAGTAGAGGTTCGACGTGGACCCGCTTTCATGATAGGGCATCAACCACCTAGCATTGTAAGCCTTGAAGCCGTGCGGGTGAATGATGGGGAAAATTTCGATCTCGTGGTTCCCTTGTGTGACCATCCACGGACGAGCGCTGGCGTAGGGCTCGACCAGGCGCCCAAATGAGTCCCATAAGGGCTGTTGTGTGTCCGCATAGGATAAATCCCCTGGAAGAAGGAGAACATCATAGTCCCTAGCACCGATGTGGGATAAAGTTGATTGAGTCCATTCTGTTTGTCCAAGGTCACCTATATAGACCAAACATCACAAAATTAGTGAAATATTGAATTTTTTAACAAAATAAAATATACATAAGAAGAATAAATAAGATCTATAATGTAATAATTAAAATATCGGACAATAATATCAATACCAGCTCTCAACCATTGCTCAAGTGTAAATACACTTACAAAAAATGAATGTGTTATAAAAAAAAAAAATGAATTTATGGTAATACCATTGTATTAGAGTTGTACCGAAAATATAGGACAAAATAATGATCAATAAATAGTTTTTAGAAAAAATAAAAAGTGAAGTTAATCATTGAATTAAAATCGAAACTTAGAAATTTGTAGTCTAATAACTTTTATCATATTGATAACTTTAATCTTAATAAATGCGGTTATTTTATTTTTAATTTATTTCATTTAACATTAAAATTTATATAAAATATCATGCCATTATACCAACAATATTACCTATTGAATCGATAATACCAGATTACGATGATTATACCTAAAGTAAAATTTAAATTTATGTCAAAATAAAATAAAGTATATAAAAAAAAACTTGCACATTCCAAGACTCAAGCCTTTGCTTGAAGGCTATCTTTTCAGTTACCGGTTACCACTTAACCTGAAAAAGCAAAGCAAAGAAAAACCGCACGCGACCAATGGAAAACAAGCAAAACTACGCAAAGATAAAATGGTCACACACGGCGGACCTCCACTCACCGGCGACAGCGAATTCCACCGGAAAATCCGCCGGCGGCGTCCGGAAGCTGAGCTCCGGGCCATAACCGCCACATCTATAGTAATAAATTGTGCCCGGCTCCAAAGGCCCGATTTTCACGTGGTGAATTTTACCCGAACGGTAAAGGAAGTAACTATACGAAGTGCTCTCGCCGGAAGCCGAGCCGTCGAGTTTCTCCGGCAAAGTCCCGTAATCGACCACCGACGGAACTTTTTTGTCGGTAGTGATCCACGACACTCGTATATGGTCCTTTCCGGCGAGTGAGACGTGCACCTGAAAATTGGAATGAATAAATCGTAAATTAGAAAGAAAGATTTAAAAAAAGTCGAGTTGTACGTATATTATGAATTTAATGGTATATATGCATTGCATGGCGGAAAAAGAACCGACCTGCTGGGGGTCGGATTCCGGCTGGTCGTGTTGCTGGAAAATAAGCGGCCGGGGACTCGGACGGATATATTCCGGCGAGGCACGGGTTGAGAAAAGCAAAAGGAAAATGAGGAGATTTGATAATGGGAAGTCCATTTTGTGAAATTAGATATTGTTATTAGAATCAACCGTTTGATTCTATTTTTGTACTAGGAATGTAATGTTGTGGTGCAGCATATGTAATCTGATTTAGTTATATAATAATTAAGAAGGCAATAGCGTGAAGAAACTACAATGCTCAACAAGGATAATTTTTTGTTATGCTTTACAAGAATAATAACCACACATTACAGAAAGTGTGTACATTTGGACTAGCTACACCATGGTAAGACGAATTATTGGTACGTACCAAAAAAATTTAGGCCAATCAAATTAACATTTAAATTTTGCTTGATTGAGTGTTGATACTGGATAGTACTGTATGGTAAATGTTCATTTCAAACTTTTACACATTTTTTACCACAAATTCTTGGCATAGGCAGCTTAACATTAGGCGAATTGACTCGTTATACTCCATGAACAAAATACATACTTATATATACTATCAAATATCACACTTTGTTATATTTCTGTATATGATTTTTTTTTAAATGTGACATTTTTTGAAATAAAAATATGCATATTGTAAAAGGAGCATGTCCGTCTAACAATAGACATACTGCTGTTTTACTGGTATTGTGTTGACTTGATTGTTTTTTACTGCAAAGTATAACTCAGTTTCTTCCTTAGGAGGAAATGAGACGTAATCACTTTTGTGGCGTTAGACCTTATGGAGCGCGAATGTATAAAAGGGGTGGTATGGCTGACAGCATAGCCCGTTCCGCGGTTAACTCCCAAAGTATTCAATGGACTCGTTACAAAGTCTAGGACTGATAGACGTAAGCATGAAATTTGAGAAAAAAATAAAAGGGTAAGACCAACAGTTGAGATGAGACAATGTCGGTAGTAAGGTCAAGAGGGTGTCTTTTGTGCGGGTACATATATTTGAACGAAGAAAGGGAGTTCGAACCCACATTTGAACGAAGAAAGGAAATTCGAACCCGGTTCAAAAACTAAGAGATGTGTATTTGTTTGAAATTTCGAGTGACATTTTGAGACTTTTTGAGATGTAAGACTTTTTAAAATTTTTAGATTTTAGAGTAGTCCTATTAAATAAGCTTGAAGGTGAGATTTTGAGTAAGTTTCATTTTTATTTTCATCCAATCTTAACAAATCATAAGACTTTATAAAATAATACAAAAGACTTTTAAAAGTTTTAAAAAAATCCTAAAAAATCTAAATTAAATACATTAAGATTTCTAAAGTCATAAAACTCTTTAGAAATAAAGGGGTGTATTCAATTGAGATTTTAAGTGACATTTTAAGACTTTTTAAAATTTGAGAGTTTTTAAGATTGTCAGATTTTTTGAAGAAATTACTTAAGTGTCGAGGTAGGATTTGAAGTGAGATTGCGTATAAAGTTTTTTGGTTAGAAATTCCACCAAATCTTAAAAATTATACATAAATCTAGTGTCAAATAAATTAATATGATCTTGTAAGACTTTTTAAAATCCTAATTAAATACCTAGAATTTTTAAAAGTCTTAAAAATTCTTAACAAATCTAAATTGAATACACCAGGATTTTTAAAGTCATAAAAAGTCCTTAGAAATCCCAATTGAATACTCCCCTAAATAAACTTCTCAAACATAAAAACCTGAGATCCCTAATTCGCACATGCTCTAGAACCCTAACTGCGAAGCCTGTGACTGAAGTGAACGATAGGAATAAGCGAGATGAGAAAGAAGAAATCGAATCCGACAAAAAGAAGATATATACATATGAAAGAAGAGGGCGACGACGACGATGATAAGCTACTCTATGAAGACGATTCAGACACCAACTCATCTTCGAAGGTCTAGCAAAACCAACCCGGTAACCAACCTCATAATTCTCGGTCGATCGCTGACAACACAACAATCATGATCACCCGACCAATCAATTTCCATGCAGGGTTGGGGCCGCAAGATTGAGGAACGGGCCAGACAATAACATGTAGAGTAAACCACTACCCCAAATTGGGTTAATCCCTCCGGGTCCGCCAAACTACAAGGCCACCCTCATTGTCAATTACGGTCAAAGCCGATCGACATACCCGCACCTACTCTGTGCAGGGATGCTTCCTAGGACCTTGGTGCACTGCCGCCCAATGGAAAAAACGCCATACGTAAATTTTCTACCAAGCTTCGACCGCCGCGTCTGATCACTCAAGAAAGGGTCGATCCCACGAAATATGCCCCACAGGACGTTTTTGCGACACGATGTTCTCCCGTATGGAAAGCTACAACCCGATTTATTATGTCTGAAGTATGTTGGTCGCTTCTTCCCTACGAACAGGCGATTGGGCTGACCTCACAACATTGATGGCAATATAACAGTGAATCCCAAACAAACAAAAGAGGTCTCTTCTATCATATCTGGACTAGAACAACTTTTCTTCAAATATGTATAACTCAGCAAAATTACACATGTTCAAGATTGTAACGTCTTAGGCATTTATAGAAATGTATTTTTCATGAGATCACCAACTTTGTATAGTAAATATGTGCGGTCGTTGTTCAATCAAGATCTTCGCTTGCATATTCTTTACACCATATTGAAAAAGGCTATACTAGATGAGCTCCTCAGTAAATGACCGACCATAGTCAACGATCGGCCTTCCTTGCCTGTCGGATGGCATCACCCAAAACCGCACAAGTCTAACACATCCCCATGCAAACAAAGAGGGAAAGAGGTCCCCCCAAAGAGCTACCTACGAAGGTGTGACCTTCTTTTTAAATTGAAAGGCAAACTTTACTCACAATTGTTTTCTTAACAAAGACAACCCCCACGAAAAGATATCTTCTGGGGCCCTTCTTTGCGACAAGAAAATCTTTCTATTGCGATTGACCCGTTTTGACTTTCGGATGTTTCTGTTGTAACTCATGAAAATAGATTGAATAACACAAAATTAGATAAACTGCTGTGCGTTATAATATACCATGTTTAGATAAAATATTTGTTTTCAATCACAAGTCCCTATTAAAGTCTGATATGATAGGTCTAAAGTGAGTCCAACACCAAAATATTTTCTTTCTCATATTTTAGTTATTTTTATTAAAAATATCATATATACCATTATAATAATAAAATAAAACTATATAAGTAATATTTGCGAAAATTAATATCAAATGTTCGTGAATGAGCTCGTGTCTGTTCGATTGCTTAACGGGCCTATTTTCTTTTCGAACTCAGCTCGATTAACAAACGAACAAACTCTAGTCGAACACGAACGAGATTTTGTTTGCGAACGTTTGATGCGTTAAAAACCCTGCTTAGAGCTATTTTTTGAAGAATCTAATGAGATCTTTTGATTCCTCGCAATAAGTCGAAGAAATTTCACACGCTGGCAAGCTGGAAACTTCAACCGACTATCCCCAATCATTTGATTATCCAATATTGATTAGTGTGCTATTATTTTATTTACCTTTTCATGAGTTACAATAATTTTTAATCAATTTTAGTTTTTGAATTCATATTTTTTGGTTAAGTAAATGAGGGTCAATCAAACTTAAGGATAATAATTTTAAGACTAATGGTCCCGGACATAGTATGCTGGTAGCACAACTATCCATGCTGGGCCCGAATACTCTGTGAAGGAGAAACTCTGGCCAACTTTTTCCTCCTTTAGAGGAAATGGGACGTAATAACATATGTGGCGATAGACCTTCTCGGGCGCTAATGTATAAAAGAGAGTGGTATAAAAGGGGCGGTATGGTTGGCAGCATGCAGGGGCGGAGCCACCCATGGGCTAGGGTGGGCTCCAGCCCCAGGTAAAAATAAAAAAAAAAAAAAATTTAGTTTACCACTTAAATTATTTTTGTCACAGCCCCATATAGTTTTATACCTAGCCCACCCTGTTCATTTGAACTAGCCCAACAGGAAAGCCCAAAAAATTAGGAAAATCAAACTCATCTTCTGGCCCGAACATGTTGTATTGTCCAACATAAAAGTGTTGATTTTTTTCTTTGGTTTATAATGTAAATAAAAAAATTAGACCTCTGCAAATTATTTTTCTCTTCGAGCCCGACAACTCCCTGCTTTACTCCTCTTCGCTGCTGCTGCAATTCCCTCCGCCACGGCCCCGAGTTCACTTCTCTTCGCCGCCAATCCCACCGTCACGTCCACGTCTTCACTCCTCCAGAATCCAGTCCTCCTCGCACCTCGCTGGACGCCGCCAATCCGCCACGGGCCACGGCCGCAACCCTAGCAGGTAAGAAATCGAACAACGGTTGCACAACGGGTTGGTTTTAGTTTGTTATTTTGATGCGAAATAGATGTGATATAGAAGTTCCTTTAAAAGATTGCACTCATTTTACTTCACCTCATGAATTATCCAAAAACAAAAAAAAATTACTCATGGCTTAAAAAACTGGGTGGAAAAAAAAAATAGCTCAAGTTGTAGCATAAAAAAATTCCATTAGAAAATTAGCTACTTAACCTAGCATCAGAAAGAAAAGAACAGAACCCATCAAAGATCTTGCAATCTCTTGGATGGGTTTGTGAGGTTCTTCATAATAACTTAAAATTAAAGGTCAATTAGCAAAGAACTAAAAGTCTAGCACTCAGTCTTAAAAAGAATTGGTAGATGTCACAGAAAGAGTCAAATGAGAGACAGATGTCAAAAATAATCATGCTTGAATTTGATTAAAAAGCTGTGGTGTAAAATTTTCCATCCAATATATTTGTTGTCAACTGTATATGCATGTTTGTCAGAGTGATCCATTTTTTCTCACTTATTTTTATTTATCATATCCGATTATTATTTTACTAAAAACACATTAGCCTTTAAGTCATTTTTGTTAATTTGTCATTTTTGTTAATTTGTCATATTGCAGATTATTTTACTAAAAACACATTAAGTCATATTGCAGATATATTACTCATTAATTCACTTATATTTGTTAATTTGTTAGGTTTCAATCATAATGAAGGATCAAGGAACGAAGAAAAGAAAGACTATCAATTCGTTCTTTAAGCCAAAAGAACATACTTCGACAAGCGGAGTTCGTCCTTCTAATGATGATGTTGCCGCCTCTATTGATATGAGCTCTCTTGAACGTGACCCGGCATTGCGTACTCCAATATGGAAATGCCCCATCGATCAAAGAGATGAAATGAGACGAGCTTATATTAAGATGGGGCCGTATCAACCTATCAAGAAAGAATATCCATCGACGCCATTCGGAGCTCAAAATCGGAGATTTCAAAGCAATTGGTTCAAGAAGTTTACTTGGTTAGAGTACTCTCCTTCTAGGGATGCTGCATTTTGCTTCCCGTGTTTCTTATTTGAAAATAAACAAGCTCGAGATTCACCATTCACTACAGAGGGATTCAAGTATTGGAAGCGAGTTAATGACGGCGACAGATGCTCCTTCTTACAACATGTTGGAGGCCCTACTTCATCACATAATAATGCTGCAGCCTCTATTGATTGTTTGATGAATGTGCCTCATCATGTTGATAAGCTAATCAACGCACAAACTTTAGAGGAGAAACAAAAGAATAGATTGCGGCTAACAACAACTATTGAAAGCATCCGATGGCTCACTTTGCAAGCATGTGCATTCAGAGGACATGATGAATCTACATTATCAACTAATCGTGGAAATTTTATCGAAATGATAAAGTTCATGGGAAGAATGAATGATAGCATTGGAGACGTAGTCTTAGAGAATGCTCCAAGAAATGCGAAGTATACTTCTCCAGAAATTCAAAAAGATGTTCTAAATATTCTTGGTCACCAAGTGAGATCCAAAATTCGTGAGGAAGTTGGAGCCGCGAAATTCTGCATTTTAGTGGATGAAGCGAGAGATAATTCCAACAGAGAGCAAATGGCGATTGTGTTGAGGTTTGTCGATATTGATGGCTTTATAAGAGAACGTTTTTTTGCTATTGTTCATGTCCTTGATACAACCGCCGCGACGCTAAAGAAAGAAATATCGGATGCTCTAAATCGATATGATTTGCAAATTCAAAATATGCGGGGACAAGGTTATGATGGTGCTAGCAACATGCGTGGTGGATTACAGGCTCTATTCTTGAAAGATTGTCCAAGTGCATATTACGTGCATTGCTTCGCGCATCGACTTCAACTAGCATTAGTTGCAGCTGCTGAAAAAGAGGTATCCATTTGGTTATTTTTTTCAAAATTGAATGCTATCGGTAATCTTATAAATGCCTCTCCCAAACGCCATTGTGAATTGCAAGTTGCTCAAAAAAATGAAATTGCACATATGGTAGCAATGGGGGAGCGTGAAACAGGTAGAGGGAGTAATCAAGTTGGGAATTTACTCAAGCCAGGAAAAACTCGGTGGAGTTCTAATTTTGACTCACTTTGTAGTATGATAGATATGTATAGCTCCGTGATTGTCGTGTTGGAGAAAATGGTGGATGAGGGATCTTCTAATTCCATTCGAGGTGAAGCGAGTGGTTTTTTGATTGCAATGAAGTCTTTTGATTTCATATTCATATTATACTTGATGCAAAAAATTATGGGAATAACAAATTTACTTTGTCGGGCATTGCAAGAGAAGTCTTTAGATATTTTAAGTGCAATGGACAATATTTCATCTACTAAAACGTTACTTCTAACGTTGAGAGAAGAAGGTTTTGGTACCCATCTTCAAATTGTGAAGGATGTTTGTGTCAAGTATGATATTGAGGTGCCTCAAATGGAAGCTCTCTATAAATCCGTTGCACGCCGTTCAAGTCATCAAAGTGATTCAATCACAGTTGAGCATCATTATCATTTTGATGTATTTAACTCCGCAATAGATTTTCAAATTGAAGAGATAAATAGTAGATTCAAGGATGAAGCGGTTGAACTTCTTAAGCTTAGTTGTGCCTTGGAACCGAAAGAAGGCTTTAAATTGTTCAATGCGGATCATATTCATCGTCTTGCCGAACGCTTCTATCCTTTTGATTTTGATGCTCAAGATTTGCTCCACCTAAGATTGCAATTAAACCATTACGAGCTTGATGTCATTACTAATGAGAGATTTCAAGACTTATGTACTCTTTCTGAATTATGTCGAAGATTAGTTGAGACACATAAGTCAAAAATTTACAACTTGATTGACAGGTACAACTGAAATTGCCTTTAAGTCATTTTTGTTAATTAAATTCTTGTATATTTATTCGATCTAATTTATTTAATTTATTTTTCAGGTTAATTCGTCTTGTTTTGACCCTCCCTGTGTCTACGGCAACTACAGAGCGAGCGTTTTCGGCTATGAAACTTGTCAAGACAGTTCTTCGTAATAAGATGGAAGAGGAGTTTCTGGCGGATTCCATGACTATTTACATTGAAAGGGAGTTAGTCGAAAATATTAGCAATGATGCTATAATTGCCGAGTTTGAAACTAAAAAAAATCGGCGGTCGCAATTTCATTAGCCCCAGGTAATTTAAAATTCTAGCTCCGCCCCTGGCAGCATGGCTATCTCGCGGCTAGCGTGGATGTGGAATTTTGAGTAAAATTTCGTATAAAGTTTTTTTTTTCTTTTAAAAAAAATCACAACAAATATTAAAAAGTCTTAATAAATTCTACTTTCAAATAAGTTAAATATCTCATGATTTAAAAATAAAAAATTAAAATCCCAACCGAATATCATAATACATTTAAAAATTTAAAAATATCTTCAAAAGTCTAAATTAATAGATTTATAAAGTCTTTGGAAATCCACTTGAATACAACCTCCTAATACATAAAAACCTGAGATCCCTGATTCGCATATGCTCAAGAACCCTAACGCAATGTTTGGTTCGGGAGAAACTGAGAGGAGGAGAAGGGAGGTGAGGGAATTTTTTAATTTTCTCTTGTTTGGTTCAATTTTTTGTATGGGCAAGAGATTAGGATTATCCCTTCAATCCGTCCTCCAAGGGAAAAACTTCTCCCCTCCAATAGTGGGAGAATTTGGAGGGGAGAGAAAATTTTTAACAACAAAACTACTCTTTTGATATTATTATGTGAATTATTTTATTTTTTTGTTTCTTACATCTTTATAAAGGTATAACTGTCATTTTTACAATATTTTCTTTTTATTTTCATTTTTTTAATCAAACAAAGTTTACCATTTTTCCTCCACTCACCTCCTACAAAATCTCTCCAAACAAGGTAAAATTATTTTACATAGGTATAACTGTCATTTTTATAATATTTTCTTTTTATTTTCATTTTTTTAATCAAACAAAGTTTACTATTTTTCCTCCACTCACCTCCTACAAAATCTCTCCAAACAAGGTAAAATTATTTTACAATCACCTCTTCCCGACGCCTTCCTTCTATTAAAATCCCTCCCCTCCCTTTCCCTTGCTTGAACCAACCAAACATACCTAACTGCGAGCCGAGAAAGAAGAAATCGAATCCGACAAATAGAAGATACATAAGAAAGAAGACGGCGACGACGATGATGATGTGCTATTTTATGAAGGCGATTCAGACAGCGACTCAGACGACGAGTTTGCGTTCCCAGGTTGGATTGTCGAAGAAGATTTCTGGGACAGGGCAGCTCCGATGATCGATGACGTTCAGATTACAGACGGTGATGATAGAAACTGCGACAAGGTAGGACTCTGTCACGATCACAAGCATGCGGCGTAGTTTAAGGGGTTACTCATTTTTGAATTGTTCAAGGTTAGGCTGAAATTGAATGAAAAAATCAGTAGCGCTCCCTTGATTAATAGCCGAATTTATGGCGAGATTGCAACATGGCCACTGGAGTTTGATCTTGAAAATCCTGACCCAATTTGTTATTACAGAGTGAGTCATTTACAAGCTCATACCATCAATCTTAACCCCAAAGAAGTAGTTCTTCTTCCCCTAACCAGTCCCGAACCCCGATCCCCTTTATACGAAGGCCAGGTTATTTATCTGGCATTTTCTTTGAAGATTGATGACGAGGATATATTTGTTCACGGCCAAATCCACAACAGCAACAACCTGTTTCCAGGCGAAGGTATTTGCAGATCGGATGCTTTGGTTGTGAGACCCCACAATAGTAAGGCCCTTCGCAAGTACGGCGGGCCCATCATCAATAGATCACTGATTGGTGATCCAGAATGCGATCCTGTGCTAATGGACGCGTATTACAGCATGTATGACAGAGCGTGGACTACTGTCAGTGTAAAGTCGTTGCTTGAAGGCGTGAGCAGGTTTTCCGGTTTCATCGTTGCCCGTCCTTGCATATTCTACTCAAGGATTTGTTTGCTCACGGTTAAACGAGCGGATGAGGAAAAGAAGACAGTGGTGATTCAGAGAGGCGACGAGGGTATAGTGGGAATTGATGGAAGCATTAAGCTTACAAGGTCGATGGTTGCTGTACCGTGTTATATAGTGTTTGATGAGGTAACATATGTGGAAATAATGTGACGACTAGTTAAGGATCAACTTTATGGATAATTTAATGGTAATCCTTGACCCGGAGTTTTATTTTTGGTTTTCAAATTATTGCATAGGCCAAACAAAATAAGGTGGACACGATATATAGGGTGGCGGCTGCACGTTTTGCACGTCTATTTCGTGACTTCGTCTGCTAATAATGAGCGGTATAGTTTTTGTTATCATTTTCTTTCTTTTTTTGTTTAGCTTATATTTATAGCTCCTAGCATTAACATATATACCTTGTTGAACTTAGGTATAAACAAATTCCATTGTTAATATGGTTCTGATATCATTGGTTTGAAACACATTTAAGGATTAGATGTTCTGAAATTTTTGATCGATTAACAGACTCCACGACGAATTCAGTCATGTGAGTTTATATTGCTCAGGAATCTGTACACACAAACACACACACACACACACATCACATGTGGACTTCTAGTCTATGATGATTTGCAAACACTTGTACTAGTAAATTCTCAAATTTGTTTCCATGTATTCTTTCAATGTGTAATTAATTGATTATCAAATGAATTCAAAATCTCTCCCTCCCTCTCCCTTTCCCATTCCCATTCCCATTCCCATTCCCCCTCCATGAAGGCCTTCCAATGAACATTTCATTGGAATTTTATCCTACCATATCTAAGTCTTGTTTATTAGGCTAAGTCAATTGTTAATCAGGAGTTGATGGACAAGTTTTTGTTTGAGATTTGTTAACTAACCATTTGCAATTTATGTGCCATATTCTCAATCACTTGAAGGTTGTAGACACTTGCATAATTATGGCTGGGAGAGTTCTATAGAAGTAGTTTCCAAAATTTGACTAATTATCAAAGTTATTTAATTTTAGTTGTAAGGTTTTCTCTTTTTTATACACCCCGTTTACAGATATGCTTTGCTATTAATTCCTCGAAATATTTCGCTACCTGAAAGCACTTTTTACTACCACTTTATTTATTGATTTGCTACTGAGACTGAAAGAAAGATAGCCAGAACTAGTGATTCTCACAGGTGGATGCCTATTATTATTTCTGGACTTCTTGCTATTGCAGTTTTGTTGGAGATTAGGCCTAAACAACCACATTAGCTGAATTATGTGCTTCAACCGGCAGGCATGACCAATATGTGTTCTTAATGCCAATGAAGTTGGGACATTTACTGTCTTACAATTACATATATACCTACATGACTTGGCCATCAATGTCAGATAAATATTTTTCTGTAGATGCTGAATTAGCTTGTTCGGTAGATGCTTGATTTAGCTGGTTTTGTAGATACCATGATATAGCCAGCATGGATAGTGCTTGAGCAAGAGGCCACGATCTACCTTAGCTTTACCTATGACCACCTATCATGCATTGGAAATTGTATTTTTTCGGTTGAGACATGTTCTTTTCAAGTGTTCACATTGTATATTAGGTTTACGGTTTACCTATCCTGGGTCGTACACCGTTCAGTGCATTTGAGTTATATTGCCGAGGA